TAGGAGGTGGCACCACTGAGGCCGAGCACAGAGGACTCGGGGGCACAAGCAAGCTGCGGGAGAAAGCCGCCAGCCCCTCATATCAACACCACTGTGCCCCCCCCGCCCCCCCGCCGCTTACAGGGGCCACACAAGCACCCCCTATAACCACGAGGCAGAGGAAGGCAAAACCCAAGCTTTGTTTATAGATGAGTTGGTTCAACGTGTGGGTTCAAGTTGAAAGGGACCAGGTATATTACAAGAAGTGACCTTGAGAAAGTGGCAGAGCAGAGGCCTTTCCAGGGGCAGAACTTTGGGCAGTGCACCTGGTCACCTATTGGTAGGAAAGGAAAACGACCTGATTATGGAGGACACGCAGGGGCCTGGATGCAGAGAGAAAGCACGTGGGAGACGCGTGGGTGAGCAGGGGAGTGAGTGACAGGAAACGTGAAGTTCTCTGTGCTGTGCACCAGTGCCCCCTGGGGAGCACACACTGTGGAGAGACATCCCATCACACAGCAGACAGAATGACCTGGTCATCTGACATCGGCCAACTCCAGGCATTGGCCACTGTGCTGCTGGCGTGATGGACCCGAGAGGGAAGCAGCCACAGTTAGGGGGGCTCTATGCATGGGACCCCGCAAAGAGCACAGGCTCCCACAAACCAAGGCTGAGTTTAGCAGTGTTGTTAATGAACATCCAACTTGTCAGCAATAGAGAAACAACAGATACCCCACATTTTGCCATTCCTCGGGGAGACCAACTGCCTTCTTGGTGACAAGTTAATTATTTGGGGCCCCTTCCATTCCGCAAGAGCCAGTGATGTGTTATCAGAGGACAATGCCTATTCCAAATAGCACGGCAACCAGATAATCTCCTCAGAAAGAAATATATTCACTTGAATCCCCAGAGGTTATGCTTAGAGCGATGAAGCATGTTTTCCTACGGTGATTAAACCAATATGCCCAGAGGAGTTACAGCTGAGGTCTCAGACAAACTACTCCTAGGTTCCAGGACATGCGCTCCTGGGCGTCTTTACTCTGTGCTTTTGCCAGCAGTGTGTACGTGAACATAACCAACTCGGCGCTCTCCTGACTGCCCTGGAATGTCTTCTGTGTCTGGAGGGGTGTTGATGATGCTGGGCTGCAACCTTTGCTGTCAGCCACGTGGTGGTGGACTTTTTACAACCTGCTAAATGCCATTGTAGAGCAGTCTTCTGTTATCCATAAGGGATGCATTCCAAGACCCCCCAGGGGATGCCTGAAACATACTTATGATAAAGCTTAATGTGTAAACCAGGCACAGTAAGAGATTAACAACAATAGCTAATGATAAAATAGAACAATTATAACAATAGATAGCCCTGGCCAGTTTGGCTCAGCGGTTAGAGTGTTGGCCTGCGGTCCTGAGAAACCTGGGATTGGTTCCTGCTAAGGGCATGTACCTCGGTTGCAGTTTGTCCCAGGTCCTGGTTGGGTTGGGTGGGTGGCAGCCACTCGATGTGTCCCTTTCACATTGGTGTTTCTCTCTCTCTTTCTCTCTCTCCTTCCCACTCTATCTGAACAAAAAATGGAAAAATGTCTTTGGGTGAGGATAAAAAACAAAACACAAAGAAAACAATATACAATCGTCCCTCGCCACTTCGCCCTTCGACTTTCGCCACCTCACTCTATCGCAGTTTTTTTTAATATATTCATTAAAAAGTTGATCGAGACAGTGAAAATGTTACAGCATGCACTCGGTTGTCTGAGTCAATTATACACCCCTGTATTACAATTAAAATAAAAATGACTGTACGTATGGACTGTAGGCCTATGTATTTGAGCACCCCAGGAATCCTTCAACACCAGGTGCAACCGCTAGAGTCTGGAACGAATTAACCCCAATGAACGAGGGATGACTATACTACAATAAGAGTTATGTGGATGTGGTCTCTCTCTCTCTCTCTCTCTCTCTCTCTCTCTCGTCTCTTTCTCAAAATCTCTTATTGTGCTTACTCACCCTTCATTATTTTGTCACAACCTGAGATGACACCAGACCTATGTGATGAGATGAAGGGAGGTGGATGGCGTGGGCGTTGTGACTTACTTAGCATTAGGCTACTATACGGGTGACTCGGGCACAAACTCTCTGATCCCTCGACAGTGTCTAACCACCAAGATGCCCTAGTCAACTAAGTGACTGGTGGGAGGGGCGTGTCTTCAGCGTGAAGATGCTGGACCAAGGGATGACTTGCGTCCCCCGAGGGTAGAGCAGGATATTGCAAAATGTCATCACACTACTCTGAACGGTGCACAATTTTAAATGTATAAATTGTTTATTCCTGGAATTTTCCACTTAATATATTTGGAGCAAAGTCAACTACAGGTAACTGAACCTCAGAAAGTGAAATGCAGATAAGGGGGGAGGACTTGAAAATGATCATCTGTGCAATGCAAATACTTTCTCCTGTTATCATTTGGAGGAGTGCCAAGTCTCATCGTTACAGTCTTCTGTGAGGTTCTAGGTAATGATCATGAAGTTGTAGTAAGTGTTTTTTAACTGCTTTCTTCAGCATTTAGGATCCTTGCCAGAGCTTTGGTGAGGAAGGGGGAGGGGGGCTGTGTCTCTCCTGCAAGTAGTAGGGATAGAAGAAAGCGCACGTGTTTGGGTAGAGTAAGCAGAAAACTTTGCAATGATGTACAAGGAGGAATGCAAGCCTTGAGTACCAGCCATGTGGATGCATAAAACATCTCTGTTCATTGATGTTCATTATCTATTAGAAAACGTGTTTTGAGAAAGGGAAGAGGTCATTATGGACTGTTTTATAGCACAAACGGCTTTCCTTGCGTTGGTTAGTTTTCTGCTTGCTGATGTTTACTCTTGCGTGTCTATTTAGCAAACAAAATCTGCTGCTGAAACTGGGATGGAGGGTTGGATAAAGCTCTTTCTCAAATCTGACATTTGGTCTAAGTAATACATAGCCTTTTTCGGGAGTCTGGGACCTAAAATCAGAAGATCACAGTGTCGCGAACCTATGTAAAAAGGCCACTGTGGCTTTGTGCTGGGCAAGAGAATTTAGTTCTACTCCCAAGAGAAGAAGCCGGTACAGAGCGTGATCCCCATAAAGCTCCAGAGAAGGGGCATCTATGCTCTGGGGCCATGATTTATGTCTTCAGCGACCAAAAAGTCTTCAAAGTGTCCCAAAGTAACCAAAATACAAAAGACCGTCTTAAGGAAGTAAAATGACTGCATTGTTTATAAAATAATGAAAACTTGATCGATCGAATGTATTTTAAAATACACAATCAATTCAGACATATCCCAAATTGATTTTTTTTTTAAATCTTTCAAATGCCAAGATGATGAAATGGCAAAAGAACGAACGAACGAACGAAGGGAGGGAGGAAAGGAAGGAAGGAAGGGGGAGAGAGAGAGAGAGAGAGAGAAAGAAAGAAAGAAAGAAAGAAAGAAAGAAAGAAAGAAAGAAAGAAAGAAAGAAAGAAAGAAAGAAAGAAAGAAGGAGGGAGGAAAGGTAAGAAAGTAGCAGACTTCTGAGTAGATGAAAACTTTCCAAAGGACTGTTTTTTTGAGAGTTTGATCATTACCTGACACCAGCTCCCTGTTGCTAAAGGCTAAGCTGTTACTATTATCAGCTAATGTTTTCTGAGAATTTACGGCTCACTTTGAGTTACATGTATTATCACACTTTATCCACATAATAATAACTTTATGAGGTAGGAACTATTATTTCTTGTTATACGGATTAGGAAAACAAGATCTAAAGAGGATAAGTTATCTGACCCATATCACTTTCTCAGTAAAAAGTAGGGCTGGGATATTAACTCGGAGGGAGTCAACTCCAAAGTCTATAATGATCAACTGATCAATCAACGGAAATGCTGTACAGCTCCTAGAGGAGCTGGGAGGGGAGGTTCTAGCCAGGCATTAACCCTTCCTACCACCTGCACGGGGACCATTCTGCTCTAGGGACAGGCTCTGAAGGCAGGCCGTGCACCGCTCACGCCTGCCACGGCCAAGGGGGTCCATTCACAGTGCAGGTGTGTCTCACACCTGGGAGTCTTCAGGTGTCCGCGAAGATGCTGAGCTCAGCTGTGCACGGTCACTGACACACACGTGCAAGGGACCACCTCGCCCAGCCCCGGCGTCCCGGGCAGTGTTTCCTTTCCCTCGCTTTTTGCTTTCGGTGACTCAAGTCCCACCCCAACCTGTCTTCCAACCTGGAAGGAGAAATGCGTAGAGAACACCTGCTGCCCTGTGGTTATTCAGATCGTGCAACCACGTGCCGACGGCATTTCTTTTTCTTCGGGAAGAAGGGTCCTTTCTAATGGTCTGTCGGGGTCCTGGTGAGAGTCCTTCACTATAGTCTGAGCACCTCCATTCCCTGGGACCCCATAGTTGTTGGGTGCTTGGGCCGTGCCAGCCACTTGAATGTCAGTTTAAAACCAGCAGAGGTAGGCAGATCACATCTTTTACAAGGAAAAAACTCACCCATGAAATATTTCCAAAGGGAAATATCAGGGGATTTTTTAAGTGTGTCACTCTGCGTTCTCTTCCCATGGAGATTATCTCATTGCTGCAAGAGGCTTTGTCTAGGGCATGGGTTCGAAAGTACCAGGGGAGCAGCCCAGTGCGGTCAGTGACCCCAACTGCCTCTCCACGGGAGTCGAAGGGGCCAGGTCAGCTAGAAGGCACCAGCTGCCCGCTGGTCAGCAGGGGAATTCCTCTCCTGAAATTTCTCTCCTGCCCGGGTTGTTGCATCACTTGTGTGGGAGAGACCTGAGTGGGCTGGCTAAGCTGGAGCACCCTGAAAAGTCTGGGACCCTGGACTGGGGGGGTCATGAGAGATGGAAGGACTTAGATCCGTGTGTTTTCTCTGAAACTACTGTCCCCACTCCAGGGAACGTTCTGCAGGAATCAATAGCAGTGAGAACAACCAGGGGACCAGGACGGAGTGCCCGCTGGATGCCCGCTGTGGGCAGGTGTGTGGCAGAGCTCCGCTTGCCCCTCCATCTTCCAGTCTGACTCCAGCTGCTTCCCAACACAGCCCTGCTGCCTCCTCAGTGCGCAGGATTAAAGAGAAGAAACTAGAAGGCATCCAACCACCAGCATCTCAAAGAGAGAAAGAGGCAAGTCCACGTGGACTTTACTTCTAGACCGAGATGGATGGAGAAGCCCCTGCTAAGCCAGGAGAACAAAAGGTGAGATTGGGGTCTCCTCTCTGAATGTGGAATGTGGGTGCGGAGGTGCAGCAGCAGCTGTCAATCATGCATTCAAGTGTTTTTCCCAGAGCAGCTGGGCTACCTCCAGGAGGCCAGGAAAGAGGCTGAAGTTCAAGGCCCAGCATCTCCCTTTCTCCTCTTCTGCTCACTCCTACTCTTCCTCCCACCAGAGTGCATGATTCCCTAGAGGTCCCTGCATAATTTAGAACCAACAGACGCTGGACAGCGAAGGAAACAGGAGATCCTGCAGCCAAACCTCTTCCATTGCAGTGGAGAGGAACAACGCAATGCTCGAGGTCATTCCGTCAACCACAGGCCAGCGGGAGCCTCCTGGTTCTGTTCACTTCCATCTGCACCTCACTGGCCCCTCCTTCCTATTTGCTGCTCTAGGGGTAGGAGGAGAGAAGTGGGGCTCAGGAGGGCAGTAGGATTTGGAGGATCGTAGCCCAGCCTGTGCAGAAGTGGAGGCGTGTGCTCTTCCCAGCAAGACAAGAGGGGTCCTGAATGTGGCCCTCCCCTTTAAAATGCTATCCACTATTCACTGCTGAGCTAGGGCTCCCTGCCTCCTGCAGAAAGGTCCTCTGAAGGTCATTGGGGGGCGTCAAGACTTGGGGACATTGTGTTGCATGTTATCCTGCAGCCTCCAATCAAGGCTGATAACTGCCTGGAGGCATTTTATCTCACACTCTGCTTCCTCATTGCCCCTCGGAGGCAGAGCGAGGGCTGCCCCACCGCGTGGAGGAACTTGGCCCCAAGCCTGCTGCGTCAGCACTGAGCTCTAGAAAAACCAGCCCAGGGGTCTGGGCACCAGCCTCACAATTAGCCTGAACTCGGTGAATATTAATCAAACAGTGGATTAGATGCAGGCACACCTGGGAGCCTCCAGGTGAGGGCAGGAAGCCAGAAGCCCGGGGAGGCGGGGAGGCCTAAGGCTGCCAAGGCAGTGCCCAAGATGGGAACTGCCGAGGAGGGGCACGGGGGCCTGAGGAGCCCTGGACTTCTCCAAATCTGACCCCTCCCAGGGCTCTACCTGGACAGAGCAGGCAAGGGCGTTGGTGGAGATAGGGACAGAGCCAAGCCGCAGTGACAATATACAGCCAAAGGGCAAACCCATGGCTTCTACTTTTCTCTTGTTCTCTCCTCTCTTTCCTTCTGTTGTCTTTAAACCCCTGCCCTTCTTTTTCTCTTCCCTTGCTCTTACTTTCTCTGACTTTCTTCTTGCCCCCCCCTTCCTTCCCTTTTCTCCTCTGACCGGCCAGTGCCCTTGTGTGGCTCAGGTGGCCCACCGCCCGCCCGCTGACCTGCAGCCCCTGTCCTTAACATGAGTGTGGTGTGTGTCAGGGAAGGAAGGAGCAAACAATAGCTCTTTAGTTTGCCTTTTTAAAATTTCAATCCTCACCCAAGGGTATGCTCATTATTCCAAAGAGAGGGGAAGGGAAATGTGTGATCTGGCCAGGGATTGAACCCGAAACCCAGGCACGTGCCCTAACTAGGAATCGAACCCGCAACCTTTTGGTATACAGAACGACACTCCAACCAACTGCGTGAGCCACACTAGCTAGGAAACTTTGCTTTATTTTTCTATCTGTAGGTCCCAGCAATTGCAGGCAGTGGATAGAGTCAAAGAACAGTTTTTTTTTATCAATCAAAAAGCATCCGTGAAAACCCTACGGAGAACACAAAAGAAGCATACTGTACACGCTCTGTCTTTCGAGTGAGCGGGCAGCAAGAGGCCATTGACGTGACCTGTGCGGTGTCTGTTAAGGGTGGCCGGGTCTGGTTCTCAAGAGCCGCACACGGGCCGCCCACACTGTGCGGGATCCTGCTTCTGAGCCTGGAGGTGCACAGATGAGACACACGGTCCTGTCTGCCAGGAGCCCCCAGGCCAGTGGGAGACACCGGAGCAGGGGGAGACAGGTGGGAACGGGGGACAGGGAGGGCTTTCAGGAAGGCGTGGGGAAGAAACAGAACAGGACCCTGTGCAGACGACCGCTTGGGCTGAGAGCTCCTTTTGAACTCCTCATTACTGACCAGGGGCACACCACCAGGGGCCAGACTTCCCCGGAAGGGGTCTGCTCTCCTACAGACACGGGAGAGGAGGAGGGGAGCGAGCTGCTCTGCGCCGGGCACGCCGCCCTCGCTTCCACCTGGATTTCACTGTGTGGAGTAACAGCTCCTGGAGAGGAGACCAGTCCTGACCCCAGTGACCTCTGGAAGGCCCACAGTGCCAGCTCAGGCTCAAGCTTCCAGCATGCAGTCTTCCCACCTCACGATAAAACTCGGGCTCCCCCAGGCAAGCGGGTGCAGTGGGTAGACTCCTACAGCGGGCATGTCACCTCTTCTGAACACAGAAGCCACCCAGGGAGGGGAAGTGTTGGCTTTGGTGGCAGTGAGCCAGGCCAAACGCACGTCAGTGTGAAGATGGCGTCCTGTGTCGCTCAGAGAGGGCAGTTCCCGTCTTGCTCCTAGAGATGTCCAGTCCAGCCCAGCACTGAGCAGACCCCAAAGTGAGAAGGTGCTCACCCCAGGCCCCGGCGCTGCTCACTCAGCTCCTCGCTTGCTTTCCTCTCCGGCCTCTTCATTGTCAGTGTTTTTTTGCAGGTCGCCAACCGGAGGGCAGGATGGAAAATGCACGTCATCCTGGCACTGTGCCTGCTGCAAGGTGAGCCCCAAACAGCCCAGAAGCAGAGCCTGCGAAACCAGACCCCTGGCACCTCAGTACATTCAGGGCTCCCTCAGGAGTTCGGGCACAGCCATGACCTTCTCTCCTGGGATCCAAGGCCATGCAGAGGGTCCAGGCAGTGGTCAGATCTGGGCCCCGGGGAAGTGAGGAAGCTGGGCGCTCACAGGGGAATGTACATGCCTGACCTGATTTCCAGAATGTTCACTGTTCTGATGTTCCCCATTCCCTGCTCTCCTCCATCCAAGTTAATGGCTGTCCAGGGTGTGCAGAAATGACTAGCACTGCTCCATGGCTACTCTGAAATCACTCAGGTGCCAGGCCAGGTACAAGAGACATAAAGACTTGTCCTACTCTAGAAGAGTGCAGAGTCTACAAAGCAACTAGATGGACAAAAAAAAATAGTATCTATGCATATATTTATTTACTCAATAGGCATTTATGGAGAGCCTGCCATGTGCCAGGCACTAGGGCCAGAAGGATGAAACACAGGGTCCCTGCCCTAGAGGTCCTGGCAGGGTGATGAGGGGAGGCTGGCCAGGTATATGTCCGGCTCAGATGATAAATGTGCTATTGTCGTGCTGTGGCGTCTGGATTTTATTTGGGTGGTAATGGGAGCCATTGAGGAATACAGTATGTGCCTAGAGAGTCTGGTACCTAGAACCTAGTCCCAAGTACATACTTAGCAAATAATTGTTGAATGAATGAATGAAAATGCTATGCTAATACCAAAAAAAGATTAACAACTGTTTTTGGCTTATAAACAAATCAGAGTTTTAATGAATCAAGGGTAGCTAGTATTTCAGCAAGAATTCTCTGATAAATCACACCGACTCTTTATTTTAATCCCTCACTGTCCCCTTTAACATTTTCCGGTAGAAACAGACTCCCCATGCCCCCAAATGAAAACTCAGGCAGCCCATGATTTGTCTGCTGACAGAGAATAGTCTTAAGTTCAAACATGCTAAAAGTAATAAATGTAAGTGTCCAGCTAAATATTTTGGTCAGCACTTTCATCTTCATCCAGAGATATGCCCCCTCCGGCGTCCAAGGCTTGTTGCAGTCAGGAAGGCAGGAAGAGACACTCTCTCTCTTCCCCTCCCCCCGCTCCCCACCTCGGCAGCTGGCACCTGGACCCCAGCCGGCTCGCAGCGGCAGGAGGGAAGAGAAGCAGAAGGCAGGCAGCTCTAGTGAAGGGCCTGGCAGGGGCAAAGGCTGACCCTTCCTCCTGTACGTGCCTCCATGGACCCTTCCCTGGCCCGCTGATGGCCCATTCCTCCCTGTGCCCAGGTTCTGCCTTGGCCCCTCCACACAGAAGGCCCCTCTCAGATGGCGGGGAGCTGGCTCTCTTCTCTCCAGGTCCCGCCTCTGGTCCCACCTCACACTTTCTCACCCCTTTGTGTGTAGGAGGAGAGATCCATGGCAAGTGTAACCCCTCAGACCTCTGGCATCTTCTCAGGCCAAGTCAGGCTCAGTCCATGGCCTCCCTCCAAGTGCAGGCCTCACTTGCCCTCCCGGGCAGAAGCCACAGCAATGGACAGCTGCTGGGAAACGGTGGGCAAAGGGGAGCAGGGCGCCTGTTCCACCGAAGGGCAGGGAACTTGCATCAGGGACCCCAAGTGGGCACCTCATTCAGCCTAAAACACTAGCCCTTCCTTTACTTCCCACAGATGACTGATAAAAAGCTCCAAACACCTCTATCATATATAACCAAGAGCTACTGCAAGTAATCCACGAAAGGAGCTAAGGGTCAGTAAAAGTTGGTATTAACTAAAGAAAAAAGGTGCATGGCCGGGTTGATTAAGGAGACTTAATCAGCCTTCTACTGGGCAGTTGGACCGCCCTCGTCCTGCTGATTAATGGGGCAGAGCTCCTCGTGCACAAGCCACGTGTCAGTCATGAGAATTCCTGACATCTGGGGTCGGAGCATGCTATCAGAGCGCCACTACTGTTGTCCTTGTTCGTAATTGTGAACATTCTTGCCTTTTAATGATGAATTTCAGTTTAATTTTATTAATAGTGGCATAGTTGATAGGTGATGGCGTGTCATTTAGTTAAACCTACACTAAGTATCAATACATTCATAGTATTTATGGCCTTGACTCTTCCTATAATTAGACCTCAGGACATATGCAGCAGACAGGGCCAGCCTCGTGGGCACGTGCCCTGTGCAGTCACACGGGGCCCCGTCATTTCTGAACAAGGGGTCTTGCATTTTTAGTTTGCAATGGGCCCTGCAAATTATATTGCCGCTCTAGGCAACGGGATATTAAACTGAACTTACTTGGGTTCAGAAGCGCTAAAGGCATAGAATAAGCTGATGGATGTCGAACCCTGTGCAGGACTACGGAGAGAGCCCGCAAAGCTGGCTGCTCCCACAGTAGCCCAGCGTGCAGCCACGTGGGGGTAGAAGAGCTCACTGTGGGAGCCACGCCCGCAAAGGAAGAGGGAAATGCTAGAAAGCCACTCCACAAGCTGGCCGTGGGTCCAGGCTTCTTCTGACAGCAGGACAAAGGTGGGCTTCCTGTGATCAAAGGTGGGCCCTACAGAAATGACCTGGCTTGGGGCCTCCACCAACAGGGTCACCCAGAGGGGACTGTGACCACAGAATGCACAGATGGCCAGAAGTCATACGCTTGGTGGAGTCATGAAGCCAGCAGGAAGAGAGGCCGTTCTTACAGGAGGGAACTGCAGCCAGAGCCCTGGAAAGATCTCAGAGGCGACAGAGAATGAAGAAGCCCTGGCCATCTGCCATGCCCAGAGGGTACCAAGGGCAGATGACCACTGTCCCTCCCACCGCTTCTCTCTCTCCTCCACATCCAATCCCAGAGGGGCCTAAAACAGCAGTTTGGCTTAGAGGAAGGGGTAAAGCAAAGCCAGAGGCCCCAAAATGTCCCCTACCTCCAGGCAGGCCTCCAAACCTAACTGGGAGAAAGGAAAGAAGCTTCAATCAGCTAAGAGATTGGAGATGCAAACAGTTATTGGGCTGGACTGGCTATATAAGTTTATATATGCAACCAGTCTAGACTAGATTTTTTCTTATCGCGATGAGGTAATGAAAGCTACTGTGCAGGAAAGTATGCCTGAGATTTTATCAAGGAGCAGAGCAGTCCACAGAGTGTGAAGAAGCGGTGAGAGACAGAACACGCTTTGTTTCTGCTTGCACTATCATATTTAAGTCATTCAGGAAACAGGCCGCAGATTGTGGTTCAGCTGTGGTTTACACCTATTGCCAAATCCGATGTTGTCACAATACTGTTCATCTGGACTGGGACGGTGGCACTTGGTCGCATCCATTTCTACAAAACGGTGGCCAGTGTGAACATTTTTATAACCACTGATCTGGGGATATACCCACCAAAGAGATCAGGATTCTTGTTTTCCAGCCCCCCCTCCCCCACCCTTTCGGCATAAAGCACACTGATCTGTTCTTACTGTCTAACATCTCCCTTTTACATTCCATGCACATAAACCATAGCCCTCTTCCAGATGTTGCCTCAGCCCTCCTATGCATGCTCAGATGGCAGCTTTTAAAACATCTGCATTGGGGCACAGGGGAAGGAACCAGGCCCGGACGGACGTGTGCAAACACCGGGCACATGAAGTGTTAGCGTAATCGTGGCTCAGATGACCCTTACGTGCCCTTCTCTCAGAGGGGGCCTTGGATGAGCCTCATTCCATATCTTGAGCCTACTCTTCACCCAGGGGCTAAGTCGCAACATTTCTCTATTGATTCTTCTCACTTTGAAGGAGGCATTTTCTCACCTGCCCCCTAATTCTGACAGAGCATGGAGCTTGTTAACACCCCACAAAGTGATTATACGCAACACTGCCTCTTTTTTTTTTATTTTTTAAAAATATGTTTATATTGATTTTTATATAGAGAGATAGAAACATTGATATGAGAGAGAAACAGCAATCGGCTACCTCCTACACACCCCCTCCTGGGGTTTGAGGCCACAGCCCAGGCATGTGTCCTGACCGGGAATCAAACCGAGACCTCTCAGTCCAGGGGACAATGCCCAATCCACCGAGCCACACCGGCCAAGCAACACTTCCTCTCCTTAGACTTTTCTTTCTCTGCTTGCAGCTGCTAATGCGTTGAAGGGCCCGAGGCTGGTGTCTGGGAAGGCTGGGGGCACTGTCACCATCCAGTGCCATTACAACCCCTCGTCCATCAACAGGCACCAGAGGAAGTACTGGTGCCGCCTAAGCCCCCTGATGTGGCTCTGCCACACCATTGTGTCCACCAACCACTACACTCACCTCCGCTACCGTGGCCGCGTGGCGATCGCAGACTTCCCGCACAGTGGCTTGTTTGTGGTGAAGCTGTCCCAGCTGTCCTCGGATGATGCGGGGTCCTACCGCTGTGGCATCGGAAACAGAAACGAAGTGCTATACTCCAGCATGAACCTGGCTGTCTCTGCAGGTAGGAGCTGGTAGCCAGTGGGTCAAGGTCATTGACGTGAATGCCAGGAAATGAGGGGTGTCGGAGGACAAACAGGTCCCAGATGGCATTAGCCATGAGGGCTGTGATGAGGAAAAGTTGGGGCAGGACAAGGACTTTAAGAAGAGAGCTTTCATTTCTAAGGAAACTACCTTCAGAAGGAAGGCAGATGCCAGGGAAAACTTCCCAAATAAATGCACGTCAGCTATCACACCCATTTGTCCCCAAATGTGTGGTCTATACATTTAGAGAGAGCTCCAAAACAGTAGGGAATTAGACAATGTGGCTGCTTAGGGCCATGGTGTCTGTTCAGACAAGCAGAGCAGGGAAGATGGGCAGGACAGAAGACTCAGGCCGGGGCGCTGCCTGAGACTGAGCCCTCAGCAGACCCCTGACAGCCACCAGGCCCATGCCTTGTGCAGCAGGTTCTGGAGAACAGATCCAGAGCCAGTACCCAGAGACTGAGGAAGGCTGTGCCAGGCCAGTCCACAGGAGCGGTGGCATGTCAGGGGGCAGGCGTGCACTGAGAGTGGACTTGTTTGATTAGATGCCACTTGCTATCTAACCACCTGCTGAGACTGGCACTGTACTGTGACTGACTTCTAGTCTTGTTTGACGACAGCACATGCTGGGCTGTGGGCCTCTGGGAAAGGGAGCATCACGCGGACCCTTGGACAGCTTGGCTAGAGAATGCCTAGGCAGAAAAAGGGGGACAGGAGCATAAAATGTCAATATTTGCAACACACTAGAGAATACATCTGGTTTTCCCAAATTTTTATTTTATCCAACGTGTTGGCCAAAGACTATGTCCCTGAGTGAGATTGCATTCCATGTAGCAAACACTTTCTGCCTGGAGCCCTTTGCGAAACCCTACAGGCCACAGGATAGCCTTCTCATGTTTCCCTCTGCTCTTCACACAGGTCCTCCCAGCCCCAGCACCAGCCCCAGCGCCAGCCCCAGCGCCAGCCTCAGCCCCAGCGCCAGCACCAGCCCCAGAGCCACGTCAGCTGCTGGTGAGGTTGTCAGGGGATCCTTTGGAACCATCTCTCCAGCGGCCAACAGATGGACCCCAGGAGCCACACAGACTACAGAAAGACAGGGGACAGGATGGGACAGAGTTGTTCTGATTCCCGGAACCAGCAGAAGAACAGCTTCCACTAAGGGAATGCAAACTCCAGGAACCCCTGGGGGAGTAGCTGCCAGGACCATTAGCCACGTAGACAGTCCCATCTGGGCAACCATCCTGATTTCAGAGAGTCCGGCTCCAACAATCACAGGCGTGTCCGATACAACAGAACGTGCTTGGCTGTGGGGTACCGGAAGCTCAAGAACAAACAGAGCCAGAGCCAGCAAGGAAGGGAGAGAGGCAACCACTGAGGCCGCTAGGCCAAGAGAGGAAGCAGAGAGGGTCAGAACACCCCTGGATGCAGACTGGACTATCACAGGGACCATTAGGCCATCAACCCTGGCCTCAGAAAAAGGGGTGTGGGAAAGCCGCCAAGAAGCAAGGTCGATTTCTAAGCCACAAGCCCTGGGCTCCATTGAAGGAACTACTCGAGCTGCAGCTGTGTGGACCTTGGGGCCCACCAGCACAGAGAGGTCATCTGCTGAAGGAAATACTGAAGGAGAACTAGACATCCCTGCTGGAGAAAGTGGTCCCCAAACAACACCAAGCCAGGACTCAGTAGCAAGACTCCTAAGGCCCCCAGGCAAAGGGCCCTCCATGAAGAGGTAAACCCCCAGGGCCTCCTGTTGGTTGGGGCTCCACATGTGCCCTTTCCCCAGGTACACCCCTCAATGAGCTGACCTCTGTGCCCTTCCCCATCTACTCACTTCTCTCCCTTTGTAACCACAAGACAATAAAGGGCAAGGGACACGCCACCTTCCCTCATTCAAGGTCCATGCTAGAAGATTGTGAGTGTTTTCATGTGGCTTTCAAGCAAAAAGCTAAACAATGGAACTTTTGGGACTTTTTTTAAAAGATGAGGAACAAAAGCTCCAGAGAGGAGAGGTGACTCACTGAAGCCGAACCAAAGATTGTGGCCGAACCAAAGCCAAGGGTGGATCCCTGACTCAGCCAATCCTCTTTCCCACTAGAGCTCAGTAGAGGGGCCCACACACAGGTAGGGGCGTCAGGAAAAGAAGTCAGGGCTCGGGGACCTGGAGACAGGGCTTCTAGTCCCCTTTCTGCTACTAACCCACCATGGGAATGAGGGCAGCCAACTCATCTTGGTGTCCGCTTCTCACCTGAAAAATGAGGGATGAGGGTCAAGTAGTCTACAACCTCTTATTCAGCTCCAACCTCCCCACTCTGGGGCTCTTCCCCTCCCCACCCCTGCTGCTTGCTCTTCAGTGCTTCTCCAAAAGAGGAAAACATCTCTCTGATCCTGACTCCTCTCTCCACGACACTGTTCCCGCTTACACTCGTGACTCTTGTTCTATTGCAAAGGAAACTCCGAAGAAAGAGGACTTGTGAGTTCAATTTAAGTGGCCCCAAACCTGGAGGTATGAGGGCATGTTCCTATCTGACACCCTCAGGGCTGGGTGGGGTCAGAGTTGGTGCCCAGACTTCTAGATGTGGAAGTGCTCAATTCTAGGTAGAGCCTTAGTCATTCTTGGCCTTGGTTCCTTTATCAAATGTGAAAGTCATCTTTGAAGTAGTCTCAGTGGCGTCCCAGAGCTGAAGGAGAAGCTCTTCTGAGGATAGCAAGTCCTATGCTAACCACAGGCGTATGAGGTACATGAGCAACCCCAGCAGCAGACAGCAGGAGTGCAGGGCCCAGGTGTGGAACCAAACTATAGTTGCCCCCTCTGCATGGCTCAGCTGAAAGTCTCTTACAGCAATGGGCCCAGGTTTAAATACTCCTCACGTGATTTTGAACTCCATGGTGTTTAAATCTGGCGAAGAAAGGGCGAGATTTTCTGGGAGCGAGCAGGGGAAGTTAAGATTCTCAGACCTAGTCCATGTAAAGCTAAGGGCTCAGTTGCAATTCTATGTCAGGATTGAAGGCTTGTGGGTGGGGGTGGTTCTTGAGGAATCCAATTCAATGCCCAGTGCCCTCACAGCATCCTCTGTCTGTGCAGCTCAGGAGATAAAAAAGGCAGCAAGAGTCACTTTGATTCAGATGACACATTTCTTGAAGCTCCAGCCAGACCAACTGCCCCTTGTGGAAAGGAAGACCCTCCAGGATGACTCTCCCCCTGCCCATGCTGCCATGACTGTCCCAGAGAGGGACCCTGGACCCTAAGGAATGGAAGGAAAGCTGTTTGGTCACCATGGAAGGAGAACCAGGACCAAATACCATGACACTTCACCTGTACAGAAGGAAGCTAATGAGGAAGCAAAGGCTGACCACCCTTGGACCTACAAAGGTCAAGAATTGGCCATAGTCAAAGATGACAGTATGACTCAAGGAAGGCTTCAAGAAAGGGTTTATTCAACGCTGGTAGAGGTCATCTAGGAAAAGTGTGAAATGTCCATTCGTGGAGGTTTGAAAATGTAAGAGGCTTCCAGTCAGTGTAGGGGACACACATTTCCAACCATCACTTGTAGCCTATGCCAGGTTGCCCTTTTTTCTGACATCTGTTAGTGTTCATCCCTCTGTACATATTGAATTATATACAGGTGTGCTAGTCTTAAATTCTCAAGCACTCTAAGTTCTTTTTGGGAAGTAATTGTGTTTTATCTCACCAGAAAACTTCCAGTTCAGTAGGGTCCCCCATAAATATCTGTGGCTGAATGGCTGACTGAAAGGCCTTTGACTCAGTGGCCTCTGGGGACCCTGCTTACACCGATGCTCTGTCTGTTCCTTCATTTGGGAGTCTCCTGGTGGTTTTCACACAGAGACCAAAAGGGCATCCAATCCCCAAATTATCCCTCTCCATTTGGGCCTATACTCATCATGCTGTAGACCTTTTGACCCAGTCAAGATTTTCTGGGATTTTCCTAAATTCATGGAGAAGGAGGGTATTTTTCAGTAGACTCTCACCTTCTTCACAAAGCTTCTCTTGTTCAACTCTTCTCACCCCTTGATAGCAAGGATGCTGATGGAGCTAAAAAATAGTTGGTAGGAGGATAAGAGGGGAGGTGGCCAAATGGAATTTTATGTGAATTCTGCTTTATAACCATGTCATCGTATGCCTACCGGGGGACTTGGCTCCATCATTGGCCCCACTGTCTTTTCAGGAGTTACCTCAGCTGTTTTATTTTGCCAGACCTGTTAACCAGCTGCCTGAACTTCATGTGTGGGCAGAGACGCCTCTGAGTAATGGGAGAGAAAGGAAAGAAAGGCTGTGATATCAAGTCGAGAACTACCGAGTAGACATTCCCAGAAGCCTCAGCCCTGCCTCCTAAGCTGTCAGTAGCTCCCCAAACCCTTTATCCAATACCTCCTCATAGCTGAGTCTGAACCCAGACACTGTCCCAAGAGGATAGAGGAGATGCTTTTTTCCTGGTGTGTGGAAGAAAGACCCATTATTTTGGATAAGTAGGAAAGTTGTATGCTTCTATCCAAAGGGAATCATCGAATTTCAGAGCTAATACATCCTTAGAGATTAACCTCTCTAAAACCCTCGGCCTAGTGGAAGCTAACTGAGGCCCTGTGGGGAAGTAACTTGTTTAAAGTCACTCAGTTACCCAGTTAGGAATAGCAGGGTGAGGACTAGAAAAGGAAACTTGGGACCTTGATCTAACGCCTTCTCCACCATCACCATTATTAACAATATATCAAAGCAAAACTAATGATAATAAAAAAAAAATTACACTAAGTTGTCTTGCTCCGGGCCATTTTAATGCACACTATCTCAGTGAACTGCTTTAAAAAACTGTAAGAGATATACAACTGCCAACATTATCCCTCTCAACCAATGAGGAAGCAGGCCTTGAGAGTTTTATAATTCAGCCAAGGTCATTCAGCTCATTAGAGGCAGGTATGAGCTGAGAACCAGGCTATATAAAATCATTTTACCTAATTAGTGTTTATCAGGAGTCCACAGAACGCTAACTTCTCAGGATTGTTAAGAGGTGTTCTGAGGACAAGTAGGTTTGGTAGATCAAAGAATTTTGGCAAATGAGGGTTAAACAATGAACAGGTTCTTTTGCATAGGATTTTTTAGAGCTTTCATTACACTAAAATGCATTGTGGATAGCTGCAGAAGATGGGAACATTGTGTCTATTTCCCAGCACTTTGGACTATTGCATTTTGGTGAAGCAATCTTACAGGACTGAGTTTCTCAGATCATCCCGTTTTGGGTGAAGCTTAATGCACTGAAGCAGGGATCCACAAAACTTTTTTGCACAGCTGTCAGAGAGGGGGTGGAGAGCTGAGTGAAAAAGGTGAAAGGATTAAGAAAAAAAATTACACAAAAACTCACAGACAGAGAAAACAGTATGATGATCACCAGAGGAAAAGGGGGCTTGGGGTTAGGTAGAAAACGGTAAAGGAGGAAGAAATGGTGATGGAAAGACACTTGACTTGAAATGGTGAACACACAATGCAATATACAGATGATGTATTACAGAAGTGCACATGAAACCTACATAATTTTATTAACAAATGTCACCCCCAATGCATTCAATATAAATAAATAAATAAATAAATAAATAAATAAATAAATAAATAATAAAAGGGGATAGAACACTTTCCTCATCCCCAGTATCCGTGCTGGTCAACAGCGACTAGCAAGCCCCCTTCTCCCTCCTCCTGTTGACCAGATTTCTATTATTATACCTGTCTCGAACTTCATGTAGCATGTATTTGTGTGTGTCCAACTTCTTTGACTCAAAACGTTTTTGAGGTTCATCCATGTTGTTGTGTGCACCAATAGTTCATTCCTTTTTATTGCTGAGGAATATTTCATTGTATACACATACCCCCATCGTAATATCCATTCACCTATTGATGGACATTTGTATTGTTTCCAGTTTCTGGTTATTATAAATAAAGTTTCTACCAACATTCTCAAAAGGAAAGTGTGTTAAAAACAAAACAACAGGCCTAAAATGGAGTCACTTATGCTAAGCCCCACAGCACCAAAAAGAGACTTAATTATAGTTCCAGCCTCTCCCAGAAATAGAAGCTTAAACCAGTCAATCAGAAATCACTCTGTCAGCAGTAGTGAGGTTCTCTGCCTGCCGTCCCCTGAAGGAAAATAGTCTTACCGCAGTCAATTCACTTTTTGCTGGTATGACGTACCTGTCCCTCTCCCTTCTGCCTATGAACGTCTGTCCTTTTTGTACAGTTTTCTGCAGCGCCTTTCTATTCGTTGGGTAGGATGCTGCCCAACTCATGAATCCCTGAAAAAAGCCAGGAAGATCTTTAAAGTTTACTCAGTTGAATTTTGTTTTTTAACAAAGGCCAACTAGTAAATATTTTAGACGTTATAGGCAGTTAAACGTCTGCTGTTGTAGCACAAGAAGTGGCCGGAGACAACACATACGTGGCTGACTTTGTCTTCCGACACCACTTCATTTACAGAAACAGGTAGCAGGCTAGAGCTGGCTCTAGGGCCATCATTTGTCAATCCCTGCACTAGGCCATATAACCAAAGTCTCTCCTGTTCACTTTGATGTCAAGGATCAGATCTCACTCTTCCTTAAATGCTCCATAGGGACTTCCCCTTGCTCTGAACTCCCGTAATACTTCTGTCTAGGACTAAGCAGTGAGCACGTTCTGCCTGAACACCCATCTTATGGGGAAGGAGAACAGCCCAACAAGGGTGTTGGCCAAGTGGTTTAAGTCCGAGGCAGCTTCCAGAAGTAGAAAAGGCTGCCAAGTTAGAGTGTTATAGGGAACATTGAGGTCCACTAGAGGGAGAAGCCAGTACAAGTTCAAAGGGCCAGAACAGAGCCAAGATCAGAGTCTCAGGGCCGAGTTTGGAACTGGGCAGAGATAAGAGCTGAGTGAAATCTTTCCCAGGAAGGAAGTGAGGCAGTTCCAAGTGTTTATAGCTCCTTTTTTATGGACTATTTGATGCTTGGAGTGAGGCAAGAGTAGTTGACTTAAAATATTTCTTCTTTATTAAGTTTAGAGAGAGAGGAAGGGAGAGGGAGACAGAGATAAAAACATCAATGAGAGAGAACATCAGTTGGCCACCTCCTGCATGCCCCCACTGAGGATTGGGCCCACAACTTGGGCATGTGCCCTGACTGGGAATCAAACTAGTGACCTCTTGGGTCGACGCTCAGAGGGGTTGACTTTAAGGACCAGATGCAGAACAGGCAAAGCTGGCCAACTCTACCACTTGGTATTGCCAGTGGTTTGTTTTTCATTGTATATACCCAGCTAGCATGATACCCACATCACCAGGACACAGGGCAGGGAAACATCTACCACCAGGCTGGAGTCGGAACATGTCCATGGAGATTTCTAATCCCAGATCCAGGGAAGCGTTGACTTCTCTATGATCTAGCAGGTTCTTCGGTCTGGGCACAACTCTTGAGTTCTCCCTCTCTATTATCAATGCCACCACCACTTGTTAAATTGTCTCCACATAGCAGGTTCAGCCCTCGGTGTTTTCACATTCCCTTATTGCATTGGAGGCAACACTTCTGTAAGATAAGTATAGTCATTTCTATTTTACAGATGAGAAAACTGAATCCAGAGAAAATAAGTAGTTACACTCCTCGGGAAAGGACAAGCTGGGAATTGAACACAAAGTGAGTGATCGACCCCCACAGCAAAAATCCTTGATCAATAGGCCACACTGCCTTGCTTCATGCTTGGATTATGGTCTGGGTATCTGCTCAGACCCTTTCCTGTTTAAAGTTCCAAAGCCTTCTTTGCTTTCCTCTTTTAGGCTCATGTGTAGAAACATTCATAAACATGTCCAGTGACGTCTTCCCTTCAGTCACCTAGCTGGCGCGTTCCTGTCCTGGCTAAGTGAAGTGTAAAAGCTGGAAGTGAGAACTAAAAATTCAGTCACCAGCCCTGAGGTCCATACTGCATTTGTACAAATAGAGCTCAGAGCTTAATTACCTGTGGGAGTGTCCATCTTTCCCAGGTACCACAGGGCAAACACCTGACCCCCAGCCAACGTCTCCTTGTGCTCCACTAAGACTCTGGGGGTTTCTTTTTCTCCTCCAGCAGCCAGTGACGTCTGGAAATACAGAACCCGTTTAACAGCAGCTTCAGTCAGAGGCAAAGAGGAAGGTATTTGCACGGAAAGACCTATCCTGTTCTCCGGCCAAGTAAACATGAATTACGTGGTCGTTGTTCACTGGTGCAGACAATGCAAGACAAAGAGCTTGCCAGACATTGAACAGACAATGGAGAATCGGCACAAAAGGAAGCCGACTCTGTCGGTGACCCTGCCTGCAAGGTGCAGGGCCACCAAGCTTTCCACTTCTCATGAAGTGACCCAGCTCGGCTCACATGCATGCCCTCCCAGGCCAACCTGTTCCCTTTACTATCAGTAAGAGGGTGAGCTGTCACCCAAGCCCTCTCTGAAACCCAACTAGGCAGCAGCGAGGTGGCAGTTCTGGGAGAGGACCCTATGACACACTTCCAGAGGCGTGCAGGAGTCATGAGCAACGAGGCTCAGGGCCAGCTAGGCCGCCATTTGCCTCCTGGTCCCATTTCGCACAGAGGCACACTCATTCCTGGGTCGCCACAGGAGTCTTCTGTGTCCTGCCTCTTCCAGCCTCTGGCTGAGTCCCCACCCCTTAGTTATCTGCTGCTGGGATCTGGATCTACCGGTTCTGCTCTGGGCACAGAGGGTCAGTTAAGGGCCACTCCTTTCCCTCATGTTACAAGTTTCTGGCTCCCCAGCCCTGAATGTCTTTCTTAGGGAGGAGGAAGAGGACCAGGACCGCCATGACAAGGCGTTTTCTCCGTGGCCCGCAATTTGTCTGGCGAGGATGTCTTTTACCTCTGACCAGCGTTCAGGAAAGGGCATCAGGGCACTTGTTTCTCCAGAGCCTGGAAGGGGAGGACAGACCGGCTGGTAAATGCAAGGGTCTAAACTCTTCCCTTCACCTGCATAGTGCAGGCAGCTGAAAGTTAATTACGGCAGGCATCCCCAGAAGGAAGCAGACTCCACCGCTGTACAGACAGGAGTGCTGAGGCTCAGAGGGGCACAGGCTGCAGGGGCTCACAGGGAGTTTTCCTGAGTCTGCCTGCCAAGCAAAGCTTGGGCTAGAGGCCAGGTTCGAACCAGGAACACGGAAGCAGCAAGTCGTCAGGAGCACACCCCTGGCTTCTGAGAGGGGCTGGGGGCCCTGTCACTTGACACTCCACTCGCCTTTGGATGTCTACTCCAAAAATCTTCCTCCTTCCCCCCCGCCCCGGCAGAGTATGGAGGTAGGAGAAGCAGAGAGTGGTTTGGTAACCTCAGAAAGGGTCGGTTCGTCTATTCCTGCCTCTCAGAACCAGAGGGGTGAAAGCCCTCTCTGGCTCGGGGAGAACAGAGAGCCTCTGGACCCAGGTCAGCTCTCCACGGCCAGGCTTTCTCAAGTTCAGCTCCTCACTCCTTCCTCGGCACAAATGACAGCCTCCGCAGGGCCAGACCCCGCTGGTCTCGGCCTTCACTCCTCCAGCAGCCAAATGAGCAAGTGTAAAGACACCTTCCCATCTGAAGCCCCAGAAAAAGTGTAGTTTTCACTCTCTGACTGGGAGCCTACAGAGCTAGGAAAACAGGTGAGGAAGTGGACACCTGGGTGTGACACAGGGAGGCAGGTGGTCAGGGAGAAGGAGGTGACTCAGTGAGCTCATGTAAAAAAATTAATGAAAAAAAGATTTGAGGCTCAGATGCGTATATTTGACCTCTATGTTGGCCTCTCCAACACTGTGCAGTGACTAGAACTGCGAATCTGGTCACAGCCCCTACCCCACTCCCATGTGCCCACCACCAGCTTGTCATCCTCTGACTGTCCCTCACTGAGGTTGTTTGGCATTGACACAGTGCTGCCAGATCATACCTGCCATGCTCCGAGCTCCTCAATAAGGGCCCCACAGAGCCCCTATGAAGTCACTCAACAGTCAGGGAAATACGGAGTGTTTATGATTGATGTTCTTCCTCCTTACTCCCTAACAGGGAAACTCACCTGACAAAAGGCTCCAGCCTTCGGACATAAGTCTGGACTCAGGAACTCCCCGAAAGTTTATCCGAGCCCAGCTAACTAACTGTACTATTCTGGTTCACACTCTCTCGGTGGGATTCCAAACATTGACCACAGGGTCAATGGGACCACAAGGCTAGCCAGCGGCGCTCAGCTGAGCAACGAGGGCAGTAGTCCACATCCCATGCCCTCCCCCAGCCCAAAAGTTGACATTGGAAAAGGAAGAGTAGATGCTCTACCCCTGCCAATGGATGGCACTTCGAGTGAGGAAATGCCAGGTCACTATCTGCTAATGGCAAGGGTGAGACTACTTGAACATAGATGATCCCAGTCAACATCCTTTGAAAAAAAGATGATGGGGCTTGCTACTTAGCTTCGCTAGGTTCACTGTCACAATTCTATTTTCCAGTAATTGACACTAAAATAACTCCATAGTGTTGGCTTACTGAGGAATGCTGGATTTCAGGGCTGGCCGGCCAGGGATTAAACATTGACTCCGGACAGGGGTTAAGCATTAACTCAGCCAAAGATCTGCACGTGGGAGCAGAGCACTGGCAGTACCCAGCAGTGATAAGCGTGTCATCTGTCCTCTCGGACCTCATTCAAATACCACATTCAGAGGAACCATCTGCAGTGAAGAATGTTGGCAGCGCAGTGGGGACCTGGGGCAGAACTGTATGGCTTAGGTCTCTCCTTCTATTGGTAGCTGGATCAGCCCAGGGTCTTGGAGCATCCAGCTAATGATGCCAACCTGAGGGGTTGGACCTATGTAGGCCTATGTGTTTGGTCTTCTCCAGCCTTCCCAAGATCAATCAAAGGTGCAAAAAGAAGTCCTTTCTGCCTATGAAAACACAGTTCAAAAGATTCATCTGGAGAGTAGAGGTTTTAGGAAGTAGAGGAAAATGCCCAATGCTGGGAGACCTTGGTTCTCAACCTATCGGTGCCATTACTTCACTGTGCAAACTTGGGCAAGTCATTCCACGTCTCTGCCCTTGATTCCTCATCGATCAGTGGGGAATAACTCTGCTCTGAAAGCCTGTGCTGCCCATTTATTGGAGCTGAATGATGTGCACCTAGGTGAAGCCAGCCATTGCATACATTGTACTTAACATTTGTGTATATGGGGTAAGTATAATTAGCCCCATTTTATATACAACCTGTCAAGGGCCGCCTGGCTAGCAGGTGGCAGGACCTGGATGTGAACCCAGGGTGTGCTGTATCGGAGCCGGTGAGCTTTCCACAAGGCTGCACTGCCCCTCCACGCTGGCTGCCACCTGGCCAGCCTTCTCTTTGGCAGTGGTGGTGCTGGTGAGGTGCTGACTCCTCACCTAGACCATATGCCCTGGGGGAACAGGGCGACACACTCCTGCATGTCTCAAATCTGCCTGGACCTTGACCTGGTCACGTCCATGCTAGATGCCATGTTAGGCTGAAAAAATGTCACCCCGAAAAAGCAGGTCCATTGCATGATACCTGGACTCTGTAAATGTGAACTTATTTGGGAAAAGGGTCTTTGCAGGTGCAATTCAGTTCAGGACCTTGAGGTAAGGTCATTTTGGATTGTCCAGGTGGACCCTAAATACCATCTTTATAAGGAAGAGGCAAAGGAACATTCCAGACACACAGAGAAGGAAATCTGAGCATGAGGGCAGAGCTTGGGATGGTGCAGCTACAAGCCAA